ATATTAGCCTTTATTAGCTGTCTTTGTTATTAGTCATTGCGACTAGACTGGATTGTAACTAAGTTCTAAAGCTATCTAGATCTACGATATAGATTAGCTGATTGACCAATTGTATAAATATATTGATAAATAAATTACATCAGATCGATGTCAACATAAACACAATTAGTCATTTGCATTTCATGTTATTACAAGAACCGAACTGCCTTTTCTATATCGGTATCTGAAGAGTCACTTAAAACCTCCCTCAAACATGTTACTCGATTGAAGGGTTCTGCTCTCTTCATTATTTCTTTACTATTTATATACACTTATGATCTGAACAAGAAAGCGTTAAATAATTCTTTAAATATCGTTCCAATCCCCTTAAAACCAATTAGTGCAAAAGTTAACATATATTAGGGTCGTGACTGTTTGAGAAAGGTTGAAACCCATTGTTATGCTATTTGATAAAGGTATTATCCAACCCCCTTGTTCATATTAAAACGCCTTCCTGATAATCTTAATTGAATACGTGTCTCATTAAAATGTTAACTATATCATAATATCTTCGCCTTAAAAGAGAGTATGAAACATTATTTAGTTTTATAATTGAAAACTTATTTTTTGATTCTCCACCAATTTATTTGACGGCCCCTTCACGGCATTGGTCATTTGAAGAAAAACAATATCTAATTTCATCCAAAGTTCTCATGTGGTTTCCGTATTACTTTCCAGATTAAACACAAGGTTGAGTTTGTACGGATATATAAAATTTGGTTGTATCGGCTGGGGAAGCAAATATAAACGATTATCCATATAGTAAATGTAAGGAAATAACAATTGTTCTGCTTAGGGGTGGTAGATTCTTCACCATGTGATTTCTATTACTCCAGAATGTGTGAAACATACCAAATGACGATGACTGAGTACGTTCATCCCATTCATGCTTCTACACTAATTATCTAAAACTCAAAGTACGCACTAATTGTTCATCATCTGACTTTTCATACCATTACTAACCCATATTTCATGTACGATAATCCGTAACCTGTTGACATCCATAGTCTTGCTAATCCGTAACCCTGTTTACAGAATACATACCTAATTCGTACCCACTTTGATATATTGGTTTTGTAAAGGAAGGTATCTATTTGAAACAGTAAGTTGTTGTTTGTTATTATATATGTGTGGGCCTGGGTGGGTGGCCTTAACTTCTATAATGTTAATCGAAAGGGGGACATTTCGAGATATCACTTGTATATCATAAGATGTTTTTAATCCTACTATTTTCTAAATAACAGTTGGGGGCGATGAATGATATGGTTATTTAGAGACAGGTTATTTTCAAATAAGTAGATTATTTTTGTATTTTGATTGAAGCTAGTTTACCTTTTCAATCGCGGATTCACGATGCAGGTTTTCGATTAGACTTACACTTTTACACGAAACATTCATACACAGAATACAACTAATTCTACTGTTAAAGGTTTTGGCAATTCATTACGATTATCATCATTACGAAAAATTTCCACTTGTGTTAATGGAGACAAAGGCATCGTATAATGAAAGTTATTTAAGTTTTACATTTTGTTTCATCAAAGACAAAAGAGGAGGGATGGGGATGCCAGTTGCTTTTTTCAGCAAACTGTAATTTGCACAACGACCTACCCGACCAGAATCTACGATCATCCAGTTGCCCGCAGATGCTGCGACACATCCAATGAGATGCATTGAATCGCCATTTGACGTGACCCCGCCAACCCCACCCAACCTCTCCTCGTATGGACGTTTTTGAATACGTAATGTTGATGTATATATTAATTGTAGAGGAGCTAAATATAGCTTTATTGAAAACACGCGGCCAGATTAAGATAGTTAAAAATGAAACAATCATTGATAACCGACTGTTTCTGGAGTTTAAATATATGACGTGATAACAAACATAAGTTTATCAAATGTTGGTCTTATGAATAGCTGCTCTGTATGTTTTGATGCCGTTCAGATTGGGGCCTAAATCTTTTCACCTATTCCTCCTAGATGTTTCGATTTGAAATGATTGTCTCAAATGTCATAATTGCCAGCCTTAAATAAAAGGTGTTTGGTTGGTGTTATGTAAATAAAAATTCGATTTGGTGATTTACAGAATTCACGCGTCAATAAGAGAGAAACATTCTAAATCAAGGCCTGAAGGTATTGGTTAACTTCAAATCCTGTAATGCATTCTCTTGATATAATTTTCAGAGCAGAATCAATCTTATTTCATTTTGTAAACCTGTTATTCAATATATAATTTAAAGTCGGCATTTGCAGGGGTTGATTTTGGGTCTTTATTGTGCTGTAATAGTCATAAGAAGTACTAAAACGAACGAAAACCACATAATCCATTCAAATATACCTCAAACTAGAAATTTCACTGTCTATTCCTATATACGTGTTTTCTATACAAGGCATAATCTCTCTAAAATTCGAATTTTTAACTTTCAAACGTGAACATTATGGATACATATGGATTTGAAGGCTCAAAGCTATGAACACTATTACTGTTTATGTAAGCTAAAAACAAATCCTGTTTCTGAAACTAAGGTATGATTGGTCGAACAGATAGCGAAGGTGCTTCTTTAAAAATCTTTAAAACACGAATCTTTTTCTTTGTGACAAATTGGAAGTGGAGTAGATTGGAAAGTTAAACAACATGAAGAATTTATCCGGGGAAGATATCTATTCAAGGATTAAATCAATCATAGCTACACATTTCCATATAATAATTTAATAAGAAACTGAGCTTGTGTTGACCCTATCATTTATAGAGTGATTGAAATCGAACTGAGAAATTCAAGCAGATATATGTTTGTTTTATTGCGATAGTCAAAACTCACAATTAGCATGACGGATATATATTTCCGTTCTTTTTCGGAAAAGAGTTTCAACCGCCAATTTAGCACAGTTTTCATAACACTGAATCTACCTATGATGCTGCCAACGGATTACCGTTTGAGAAATTGTAAAAACGAGCAGATGTACTACGACCAGTTCAAACTATTTATTACTGGCACATGTTTGATGTGTTTCGGACTAACAAATTACATGCTATTTGGTACATACTAGTTATGTAAGTAATATATAACTAGTGCAGTTGCACAGATTCAAGCAACCTAAATTCCCAATTATAACCATGCAATAACCTACTAATTGATAATGGATATATGATTAACTTTAAAAATAAACCCCAGTCTTCACTAAGGTGCAGGCTCTGAGTTTAGCGCATAAAATAGCAAAATAGCTTGGAAATAAAATAGCTCCTCCTAAAGTTGCCCATAGAAAGCTACCATTGCAGATAGGGCTATTCTAATAAAGCTATTGTAGCAAACGCTAAAATAGCACCTGCAGCTATTCTAATTACGCTATTGTAGCAAACGCTAAAATAGCACCTACAGCTATTCTAATAACGCTATTGTAGCAAACGCTAAAATAGCACCTACAGCTATTCTAATTACGCTATTGTAGCAAACGCTAAAATAGCACCTACAGCTATTCTAATAACGCTATTGTAGCAAACGCTAAAATAGCACCTACAGCTATTCTAATTACGCTATTGTAGCAAACGCTAAAATAGCACCTACAGCTATTCTAATAACGCTATTGTAGCAAACGCTAAAATAGTACCTACAGCTATTCTAATTACGCTATTGTAGCAAACGCTAAAATAGCACCTACAGCTATTCTAATAACGCTATTGTAGCAAACGCTAAAATAGCACCTACAGCTATTCTAATTACGCTATTGTAGCAAACGCTAAAATAGCACCTACAGCTATTCTAATTACGCTATTGTAGCAAACGCTAAAATAGCACCTACAGCTATTCTAATTACGCTATTGTAGCAAACGCTAAAACAGCGCCTACAGCTATTCTAATAACGCTATTGTAGCCGTTGACTATGACTCTATTAAAACCAGCAAATAGCCGCTATTTTAGCGCTTTTCTAAGATAACGTTATTAGAATAGCTGTAGCCGCTATTTTAGTGTTATCACGTATTGAACCAAGTATTAATTTTAAGGTTAGGTTGAGGACTGGTATTAGTTATTAACAATGTATTGACTTTAGGGTTAGGTTGAGGGCTGGTATTAGTTATTAACAATGCATTGACTTTAGGAATTTAAGGTTGTAATATTGCGGTTAAGCAATGTAACGAAAGCACAGGCACAGGCATGTAGGCGTAACCTCTAGTGATAGAGCAATGTTTGTGAAGTTAGTTTAAAAGAGTGATATAGAATATTTGAAATGCAAATCCATTATCTTCCGAATCTGAAATATATAAGAAGAATACTGGTTCCAACAGGAACATTAATAACCATGGAAATCATGATAAACATTTTCACTGATGAAACTGAGGAATTGTCCTATATTAAATGAAAAGGAAAATGCGTATTTCATATAAAAAATATATATAATTTATTAAGTGAAAATAGTATACATGTATGATATTTTTGCGAGGAAACTCTTCAATTGCAAGTTATCATAAATAAGAAATATTAATTAAAGGAAATGTATTAAACCTATGGAAGGGGGATGGGGGGTAATCTACCACGGACTAAGATATCATTTAGACAGGGTTAGGTTGAGGGCTGGTATTAGTTATTAACAATGTATTGACTTTAGGGTTAGGTTGAGGGCTGGTATTAGTTATTAAAAATGTATTGACTTTAGGGTTAGGTTGAGGGCTGGTATTAGTTATAAACAATGTATTATCTTTAAGGTTAGGTTGAGGGCTCGAAAATAGCCTCTATTTTTGAAAATAAAATAGCTATCCCAAAAGTTTATTCTACACAGGCTATTTTAGAAAGCACCAATAATCGCCAATCACATCTGAGTTTTACTCAGTTTTACGCAGCAATAATTCCACCTGAACCCAGTATTTTCGGATAATAATATGTATATGGTATACTACATGTATAATACCTATCACCATTATTAGTTATCAACATATACTAACAGGCTTTACTTTATTGTATTTTCAGAAAATAGCGAGTGTATGACCCTGGCTTTAAGAAAAAGATGTCGAAATACAATGGGAAGAAAATCCAAGAGAAGAAATTACGCCCGACGTTGTGAGATTAACTTTTTACCAGTTGTTCACCTTCAATCCAACAGAGACGCCAAAGTATACATGGCCAAACGAACAAATCATTTGAAATGTATGTCCCATGTGGCTGGATTTGGTTCATGTCCTACACTGAGAACAGTGAATGAAACGAGAAAGATTATTTGTAATCCAATTCGTGATAATACTCAAAGATGTGCAACAACTCACCAGACTGTTCGAACGAGCTGTCGTTTATTTGAAATCTGCGATCAGGCTGTGCTCGTTTCTGGTGGTTGGAACCGACACACCACAGGGTTACGTCATAAGCAGAATATCGAACACGTTTATGATTTCTTCAGATCCAATGGTTTTAAAAGACGAAACATTAAAATATTCTTTGCAAATGGTGCTCAATCATTGATACGTAAGTATTTTGTAGAGACATATTGTCTCAAAATACGTACATATTTGTGTTGCATCCTGCAATTAATTGGCATTAGCAGGGTCCATTTTATCATATCTGTACTAATTGTAGACTATAATATACGAAGGTTACATGTATTATAATATGTTTTGGAAAGCCTTTTATGTCATCGTGGAAAACTATTTAACAAATACTAGTTAGAAATATAATCTAATGACCGTAGTAGACAGATAGTGCTTTAAATGACCAAACTATGATTGTAATCACTAAACTTTACAGTTATTCCATCGTCCAATACATGTACTTCCACTTTTTCCAATCTTTAACTTTCAGTTTAATAAGAGTTTAGTTTAAACAAAAAGAATCTAGTTTCACTATGGGACTTCCGGTCCAATAACTTGACCTTCATCATAAAACGTACGTGAACATTTGATGTCACACCAACAAAAAAATGCAAAGGAACAAACAGTCGTGGAACAGATAAAGAACGATTTGATAGACGACAAATCACAGACTCTTTCGTCTTCGTTTTGTTTTGTTTACCTTCTGTCCACTGTATAAAGAATTATTTTTATTGATCATCCACGCGCAGTCGAGTAAGGGTTAATTGGTTATATTAGACAGAGTTATCGAACTTTAAAAGACTCTCTACGACTAGAATATCAAAGATTCAATGAACCTTGTAATTATTTTTCTCTCTTTCTTCTCGGCTCGTCTTTATCTTCAATAGACATAGTTAAAGATAAGTTCAAAGACACATTCCCTTTTTCCCCTCAACTCTTCTTTTATCGAATTGATAAGACTTTGATCTTACGTTTGTTCCTAGAGAAACGGTGATAAAATAACCAAGAAAATAGTAAAGTTTGGCCAATCTTTATCATCAGATATTGGTCATTCTTATCTGAAAGAGAAATAAACTAGTCTTTGATTTTCTGATTTATATTCCTTCATTGGCGTGGATGTTATGGCCCTTTTTTCTGTAATACAGGTATAAAGGCAAATATATCAAAGACATTAAGCTATAAGTTACTGGTATTCTTTAAATGCTACGAATAAAGAAACAAACGTTGCAATTTTACCTAAATAATTCTGTAAATGGCAGAAAATGAATGGGAATTTAATATCCTTTACATCTGTAAGTGCTTGATTTTCGGGGGTTATCCATACGGTACGGTAGCCGTACAGTGACCTCTGCAAAATGAACACTCAAAATAGAATAAAGGAAGTCTGCTTTGCGATTTCTATACATACATATCCATTTGCAAATTACACTTATTGTTGTTTACTGCAGGCCGTGGTGATCCACCCCAGAGAGTTTACCCAGCTGCGATGAAACTTGCTTTAAGATACCACTTGAGAAAACTGTGTCTATCGTCACACTGTGTTGATTCATTGGTGCTGTATCTCAATTCTCCAGCTAAAAACGACGGAATTAGTCTACTGTGGGACATCAATAGTGATGGTTTGGTAAGTTGTGTTAAGTCGAATCTCGTGGAATCTCGACCGAAGGATGACGGATAAACTAATTATTAAGGCGGCTCCCAGTCCACCAGAACCACGAAAGAGACCATGTAGCAGCTTATATAATATTGGACACCGATTTCGTATCCCGTGTGAATAACCGTCCATTTTAGGAGCATGATAGAAATCTGTTCTTATTTCTAAATTTCAGGCCGAGGATAATGAAAAGTATCCTGTATCAGAACTAAAAGATGATCTGAGGAATTGTGCTGCTAAAAATGTTCATCTTATAGTTGATCAGAGTTATTCTGGAATTATTGCCGAGGCTTTTCACAATTCACCGGAACATTCCAATATTATTGTATTTACGAGTGGAAGGAGTAACGAGTATTCGTATGATGACGAGTTTACCTTACATTGGACTCTTTACAACCAGTCTCGATCGTGTACTAGAGATATATTCGAGGTTTGTGTTACTTTTTTTTTAGTTTTTTCCAGGTTTTGTCCGCACTTCCTCAAAGCAAAAGGTAACAGCGGAACCGTGACATTCGGGGCTCCCCTTGCAACAGCAGCAACAATCGTTTGCGGTATTGAACCGAGAAGTTTAAAAATCATTGGTTTTATTAGGTTCCTAGCAACATTGTTCAAAGTTTTCAAATTCTTCGTGTGTCCTTTAACTCTCTTTCTATAAGTTCTTATATGAGTTCTTTCATTTACTCCAAATATACTTTCATTGCCATTTCATTGCTTTTGTCCTTTTGCAGCAAAGTAAGAATGCAGTGAAACATTCAACCCCTCAACTTGGTGAAGGAAGACTTGGTCAAGTAAAGAAAACAGTGTTTGGTGCTCCTTGTGATACGTCACCTGCTTACACTAACAGGGAACTACGTCATAAATATTTGGGGTGCCAGAATCTCCCCACAGCTGTGTGGTTAATGAAGATGTTACAGCGGGATGATGGTATTCCTGGACTAAATAAAAAGAAATTAATGTGAAGTGTAAACCGATACCATTTTGTACTGGTTTGGTGTCATGAATTAAACTTATATTCAAAAATATAGTCCATATATCAAGACATGAATGTTAATGGTCAAACTCTGAAATTGACGTCAGATAGTGACATTCAGTGAATTCGAAACTCGATCATGTATATATTTATGTATCGTGATGAATGGTATTTTTTAAATTGTGAACCATACACATGGTTTAGTGACTTGGCCTATTGAGAGTTGAATGCAATGCGATAGTGCATCTTGTTCCGTTTTTTTGTGATCGATATCATGGACATACAAAACCGACAGGGTTGAATGCACACGCGCAAATGTTTTACCATTAATGAGTGTCAAATTCCTGTCCATATCATTATATGATTTTGATTTTAAGAATCTGTCGAAATGATAACATTGTCGGCCTTAAATGTGGATATTGATATTTTAGCGAATCAATGTGAACGTTCATTCAAATCGAATTTGAGTGATCTTATTTGATTAACAGTAAGTGCTGGTTGAATACTCGGGTCGGCATATAGTTTGTGAGTCTTAACATAAAACAACACTTCGGACCATGTTAATTTCGCATGGCTATTGCATATGAACATGTTTGTAGAGAGTGTCATTTGATTCGTGCCCTAGCAAAGGTTAATTGCCCCTGCCTATCATTCAAGGGATGTGTTGAAAGATATTAGAATTGATATATGAATGTATAAACTTGTCGTTTAATGCATGAAATCTATAACCAATATGATTATCAGACATGTTGCGAATCTCGTCAATAGCGTGGAACAACGGGTAAAGGGAAGGTACTCAATTACTCAATGAATTTCCCTGTGCAAACTGACATTAAACTAGAAATAGACTGAAAATGTCACCTGCAAGTGTTCTCACATACGTAGTAGCCTCGTCAGAAGAAAAGCCGAATTGAATATTTGAACATGCAGATAATTTCACAACATAAAAAGAGTACGAACGCATTCGAACGTTCCTAGAGAATTTTACAATTTCATGGATGTTTTTCCTCTCAAAAAAATAAAATAAAATAAAGTAGATTCTGAAATTCTAAAAGTTTGATTATAGAAATGATCTTTATTTCTGTTAGATCTAGAATTGTAAATGGTAATGTTATATTTATATATTTAATGAATATAACTGAATAAATGTAATCAAAATGAAATAACGCAAGACTCACTCAAAAATTTTTCCAATAATTTATCATATAGCCCCGAACGATACGTACAAGGCGTCATATCTGAAAGAGAATTGTGTGGGAATCTCAGATCTTGTTTGCTAAGGTACAATATAATAATGTAGTGTAAATTGAAACAGTAAATTTTCCCTAAAGCACACAACATATGAAAATGAGTTTTGAACGTTACACTCCCTACTCTCGAGTATGACTGATTCTAGAGTAACAACATGCAGTGCATGAGGGAGATGCAACCGGGATAATGGCCATAGCATACTACTTTCCAATTACAAAAGGTCGCATGGTTTCGGTTGTCAGATCCGAACGACAAGACGTCTTTTTGCAAACTACATCGTTGTTCATTTTTTTATACGCCCACACGTAAGTATGGGCGTATATGGTGGTTGCCCATGTCGGTCCGTCTGTCAGTCCGTCCGTCGGTCTGTCGGTCCGTCCGTTCACATTTACCCCGTGCTCACTCTACAGACTACAGTTCTTTATGGATTCTTTTGATCTTTTGTATGTGTGTCAATATCATTATGAAGATGTGCAATATTGAACTTGGTGATGATCCGATGATTTTCTTTAGAGATATCGCATAAAACTCTGATATCGCGTTCGTTTTTTTCTCGCTTATTTTGCTCGTGCCCACCCTAAAGACTACAATTCTCCAAGGATTCTTTTGATTGTTTGTATTTGTGTATCATTATGAAGATGTGCACTATTGAATTTGGTGATGATCCGATTTTTTTTCTTGAGAGATATCGCATAAAATTCTGATAACACGTTCGTTTTTTTTCTCACTTTTTTGACTCGTGCTCACTCTACAGGCTACAGTTCTTTATGGATTCTTTTGATCTTTTGTATGTGTGTGTCAATATCATTAAGAAGATGTGCACTATTGAATTTGGTGAGGATCCGATGATTTTCTTGAGAGATATCGCATAAAACTCTAATATCGCGTTTTTTCACTTTTTTGGCTCGTGCTCACATTATAGGCTACGATATAGAGTTTGTTTTACAGTTCACATTTAGTTCTTTATCGAGCTGCTGGTGGGCGTATTCGGTTGTGAGACTTGCCGCAAGCCTATGTGTTTTTATCTGAATAATATATGATTAATTGTTCAACTTCTAATTACGCCATCGTACAAAAGTACAAAAGGTTTCAATCTTTCAAAGCATAAGAAGAATCATCTGTTTTGAGCACAGATTCATGCATATTGCTAGCAGGACTAGTATGTGCCACTTCAGACGTACCTACAGACCTCTATACCTCTTCTATCTATGTCTCTTTAGAACCTTGATAAAAAGATCAATTACATTAAGTTTAAGTTACTTACAAATATCTCGAATACAGTATACATTCTTCTGTTACTGGTCTAAGTTGATATAGAAATAAGAGCTAGGAAATCAAATAAAAAAATAGAAATTTAAATAGGTTATCAAAATAACATTATGTGGGGGTCAGAAGATTTGGTGGACCTGCTAACATATTAAGATAAACCTGGGATTCTATTGGTATGTATTTAAACATTGCCGTTTGTTGTCAATTCATGTCATATTTAGATCTTTTGGTTTTTGCAATTTTATTGTTTGACAAATTGCACCTTAGTCTCTGAAACGTGAATTATTTGAGCTAATCTAATCAGTAATAGTGTTCACATTTCACCGTCGAAATTTTAGACTTCAAGTCCATGTGTGTATCCCGACATTTTACATATATTCAAGACCCAAATCAACCTCCCAAAATATTGAACCTATCCCTCTAACAGGATGATCCTTTTTTGTCGGATATTGTCTTTCGTTAATATACAAGAAACAACGACAGAGCAATCCATAGTTTTGGAGCTTCGTTAAAGTGATCGTTCATGCACGGATTGTATAAACTTGATGGTATTAACGCTTCTGAGTTATCGGTAGGTTTAAAAAAAAGAGAAGATCAAGAAACTGAACATCGGAAAACATAATGATTAGAAAAATATAGGAATAGCAAATTAAAAAATTTATCAGTTATATTGTGAATGATTCAATGACCACCCTGTTAACCAAGGTTAACCCTGTAAGCTGTCATCAACTGACAGATATCATAAATAGTCAAACTAAACTATATCAATTTTAATATAATGTAGATACTGAATTTAAATTATGACTCGTGCTAAATTAATATTAGTTAAAGTTTTGACAAATGGTCTGTTTCAATCTGTACATGTGATATGCGTTTTGTTTTGGTTGAGTGTTCAACGTAATTTATATTCTGAAATATCAGTGAGTCAAATAACCTGCCACTGTATACTTTCAGAGTTTCGATAGTTAAATTCAGTTGTAATTAAACAGATTTTAAAGAGGTATTTTAAAATTCCTATGTGTAGGGCCTATCGGGGTCACAAAATATCCTTTATCACTAAGAGCCCTTCGCGATCAGTGACGTCATCAACCAGCTAATTCTAGTGGAATTGAAAGAATCCCGTATGATTTAAAATTGGAATGGTGCAAATTGATGCTATCAGTGTTCCATATACACATATTCTTTTTCAATTTCCTTGTACTCAGTGAATTCGTATTAGGAGTTTTCATGTTCCACGTTATTCTCTCTGGACTGGTAAAGCATCATCACGCAAAGTAAAGAGAGCTGTGAGCTTGTTTTATTCAGATTTCTGGTGATTTAATATTTCGACAATTAGTTCAACAGACAACATGTACTACGACATTTGATCTTGTGGTTAATTTTTTTTCCAGGTATCATGAACGTGGTACTATTTATCATGGTCTGCACCATAGTATTGGTGTCACATACCGCGAGTCAGTTTGCTCTTATTATCATAGATGTTCAAGAATGTTTTCTATCAGGAGGTAGTTTAGCTGTTACTGATGGAAACCAAGTAATTCCTGTTATAAAGAGAATTCGAGATCTGTACAAAGATGAATTCAACATGGTAGTTTTCACCCAAGACTGGCATTGTGAAAACCATGTTTCGTTTGCATCCCAATTTTCAAAAAAAGAACCATATGATACAGTAAAACTTTCTTATAACGACCAAGGTAAGAATAATATCACCTATTATGACTAATTTATACAATATACATTTAAACATAACCAGATACTTACTTGTTAACCCTTGTGCTAGAACTTGGGGTATTTCGGGACCCCAGCACCAATTTTTTTCGAATTTCCAAAATGCCATCGAAGATAGCAATTTGGTTATTTCAAACATTGTAGCTGAATGAATTTTTAATCTGTTCATGATCAGTCTACTGTGCAACAATCACAATTAGCGGATATGTTAACCTTTTAAATTGAAACACACCATGCTAGTATGTTGGGGTACATTACGATAAATGCAGTGCTAAAACTGGATTTCAGTGAATAAAATTAAATTGTAATCTACTCCTAAAGCTAGTTATCTTAGGTTAAAGTCAATTTGGCACTAAACCGAAATGTCCCCATGTCAAAATGGCCCCAAAAGTCAAAATTAGTCGAAATGACCCCAAATACAATAGTCAAAATGGCCCCTAAAATTACTCTTTGATTTCAACCAAAATCATTGGTCGAAATGATCCTCCACCCCCAAAATTAAAAATGTCCCTAGTTTAAAAAATATTCTAACTTTGATAATTAATTATAATTAGTAGCTTATCTGAGTGATTATCAAAGACTAATAATAATAGTTTGTAACTTATGTGATGATTAATGAAAGAAAAAAGACAATAGTTTATAGCTTATTGAGGTGATGATGTGTATATTGGTTTTGAAATAAATACTGTTTAAACCAAGTCAAATTTTTCCATGACAGCCAAGTAATATATAGAATTGGTTGAAAGTGGGGTCGAGTTTCAATACACCTGTAAGAATTGTATTGTACAATACGGAAACTATTAACAAATCTTAACAACATTTGATCGATAATAAACATTGACACAGTGCATCATTTCAAAGATTAAGGTTAATCTGTTATAGACACAAATTAATTCAAATTATTAAATAAATTTATGGATATATTCAATATGAAGAGTACATAATATTTTACCAAGATGAGACCTGTTCAATATAAATACAGGTCAGTTGAGACTGGTGAAATTACCTTGCTGCACTAATAATATGCCAACAACTCTTGATATTTTTTCCCGACAGGATATGCCGTGATACGACCAAAACACCTCTATCTTATTGGTCCCTGATCCAATCCCTCTACACCTATTTCGGCACCGAAATACAAACAACATACTGTCAAAACATTAATATATTATTTATTGTTAAAGTTGTTCAATGAAATAAAAAATTATTTGGTACCATTTTGACCACTTTGTAAGGGATATTTCAACTAATTTTGGGGCCATTTGGGTTAAAAATTGACTATAACACCTATTGAATCTCGGGGGTTCTGAAGTACCCCAGTAGGTCAAATTTGAGTTTTTTACACATAATTTTCAAATTATCAATAAATGTTATAACCATATCACGTTAAGCCAGCTACTTTTGAAATCTTGACCAATTGGTCAATAATTGAATCAAAACAGATGCACTCTGCTCATCCCTAGATCACAACCCGACCCTTATGTAATATTCTAGATTATAGGTTTGACTTGAAGACAGGATGACTTTCGCATATCGATATAACTATCATCTTGAATAATTGATTTGGTCAACAAGGAGTCTTTATAAAGTATTATTTGCCACACCTGGGATTATATTCCATGTTCTTTTGTTCAAAATTTCCATTATATATAAGGGGTTCCCAAATACCCCAGGTTCTATCCAATGTTATTAAAACGACGTGCTAGCACAAGGGTTAATAAAATATTGTTTTAGAAAACACCAAAAAATCGACGTGTATTATTCTTTATTTTTGGAGAAACCTAAAGCAGAATCTTATAACTTAAATATATTTTTAAAATCCGAATTCATATTTTAAAGATTTGAAGAAAATGCGAAAAGTAAGTAAAGTGACACGGTTTGCTTAAACTAAACTATATGTATAGGAATTTTTAATTTCAGGAAAGGTATGTGTAGGTGATGACGTCACCAACGACATGCCGTATGCTGCCCAATGTTCGAATTTTTCAAAGCAAATCACGCAGACTCTATGGCCTGATCATTGTATTAAGGACGTTAGTAGTGGACCAACATCCTCTAAGATATCAGAGAAGCTGAAACCCTTCCCAAACATTGTTAAAAAGGGACAGCATTGTCAGGTAAAGTAATGTTCCAGGGCCGACTGTAGTTTGTTATATATTATAAAATTCATTTTATTTGTAACTTTGTTATGAATCTAAGTTGGATTATTATGGTTATCTCCCTTGAATTTGAAATGAAATTAATAACATCATTTCAGGCATCTACACAAAGTCAAGCGCATACGAACATCGTCTTATACCTACTTAATGCCACCTTTCTTTTATTACGGAATGCAACGATTTGATTAGATTGTAGGCCATCGAATACAGCCAATCGGTACACTCGACAGAAAAACTGTAAACATTATGGCGAGGGCACTGATTTAGTCAATTAATTCTACCTCACCCGTCACTACGTCAGTGAGTTCGTCACTCCGTCAATGAGTTCGCCACTCACGTCAGTGATTCCGTCATAACGTCAATCGTCAATGCTACCGAACAAAAAATGTAATATTAATGAATTATAATCACAAAACGAAATCAAAACGAAATTTTTAGAAAGACGTACGTCGATGCTACCTTACAAAATGATGAATACTAGCGTTTCTTAAAATAAAACGAAAGAATATGCCAGTCCGTCAGTGGCGAACTCATTGACGTAATGACGTATGAAGTAGTCCAAGGCTGATATACAGCTAATTCATCCATCAATCCGTCATTGACGTCAGTCCGCCAATCATCCCAGTGACGGGTTGACGTAGTTACGTATAACATAATCCAGGTGACGGAGTGACGAACTCACTGACGGAGTGACGTATGAGGTAGCCCTCATGCATACACGCCTTATTCATCCGTCACTCCGTCAATGAATCGGTAGCTCCGTCATTCATTGCCATTGGCTTAATCCGTCATTGACGTCAGTCCGTCAATCACCCAAGTGACGGAGTGGCGAACTCATTGACGGAGTGGCGAACTCATTGACGGAGTGGCGAACTCATTGACGGAGTGACGAACTCACTGGCGGAGTGACGAACTCACTGACGTACTGACGTATGAGGTAGCCCTTATGCATACACGCCTTATTCATCCGTCACTCCGTCATTGAATCGGGAGCTCCGTCATTCATCCAAGTGACGTAGTGGCGAACTCATTGACGGAGTGACGAACTCATTGACGGAGTGGCGAACTCATTGACGGAGTGACGAACTCATTGACGGAATGGCGAACTCATTGACGGAGTGACGAACTCACTGACGGAGTGACGTATGAGGTAGCCCTAGACAGGGGAAAACATTTCATCCGTCATTCGTCGATGCTACCTTACAAAATTACAGGGCTCTATGTAGGGCGCTTCTTCATGCGTCGCTCCGGCATTGGTCTCAATGGATCCATCATTCCCGTCAGTCCGTCTTTGGCTTTATCCGTCATTGGCGTCAGTCCGTCAATCATCCAAGTGACGGAGTGGCGAACTCATTGACGGAGTGGCGAACTCATTGACGCAGTGGCGAACTCATTGACGGAGTAACAAACTCACTGGCGGAGTGACGAACTCATTGACGTACTGACGTATGAGGTAGCCCGTATGCATACACGCCTTATTCATCCGTCACTCCGTCAATGAATCGGTAGCTCCGTCATTCATCCAAGTGACGTAGTGGCGAACTCATTGACAGAGTGGCGAACTCATTGACGGAGTGACGAACTCATTGACGGAGTGGCGAACTCATTGACGGAGTGACGAACTCACTGACGGAGTGACGTATGAGGTAGCCCTCATGCATACACGCCTTATTCATCCGTCACTCCGTCAATGAATCGGTAGCTCCGTCATTCATTGCCATTGGCTTAATCCGTCATTGACGTCAGTCCGCCAATCACCCAAGTGACGGACTGGCGAACTCATTGACGGAGTGGCGAACTCATTGACGGAGTGGCGAACTCATTGACGGAGTGACGAACTCACTGGCGGAGTGACGAACTCACTGACGTACTGACGTATGAGGTAGCCCTTATGCATACACGCCTTATTCATCCGTCACTCCGTCAATGAATCGGTAGCTCCGTCATTCATCCAAGTGACGTAGTGGCGAACTCATTGACAGAGTGGCGAACTCATTGACGGAGTGACGAACTCATGACGGAG